CAGAACAGCTCCTCACCAGCAATTATCACCAAGATAAGCAGAGGTTACCAGCAACTACCTGGTACAAAAGGGGAGGTATAATAAAATATTTTAATGCAGAATCACCTTCACTTGGAATAGGTGACAACTGTTGTTTTAAAAACATAAATCTGAGTCGGTGTCTTAAAGGTTATCTGACACAATTCATCAACTTTTCTTTTCTTTTCTTTTTTTTTAGCTCTCTATGGAATTTTGTTTGAAAAGCACAAAGAGGCTGCATTTGCAAATTACCGCCTGTGGGAGTCATTGGGATTTGTCATAGCCTTTGGCTACAGCACCTTCTTAAGTGTCTCCATCAAACTGTATATCCTGTTGGCTGTAGTGATTGTGTCAATGGTCTTATATGGAATAGTTGAATACCTGGAATCCAAGATGTCTTCTGGAACACCTAACAGTGCTAAGCAAGAGCCAATCACACCGCAGCAAAATGCTCAGGAAACCCATTTCTAATCCAGTAAGAAAATCCATGTAAAAAAGGCCATTCCCCAGTCCTAAATCAAAGCTTACATACGTATTTTTACTGGCTAACAGAGAAGGGGCTATCCAGGGGCTGATTGGTGGCAATGACAACCATTGAGAAGGCTCAAGGAACTGCTATAATGATGTCCACAGGATTTTTTTTTTCTTCTTTTGTGGTAAGATTGTGGAGTATTATGAACTTTGCTTGTATAGTCTGAGCCCAACCTACTTCACAGGTTTGTTGTTATGGGGAACAAATTGGAGGATGGAGTCCTGTGTATGCCACCTGAATTCCTGGAAGAAAGATAGATAATGAAAAAATATAGAATTGCTTTTAATTTTATCTGACTTTTTAAAAAAAAAACTTTTGGAAATCAATGATGTATAATCAATAAACAAAACATTTTTTTTTTTTTGCACTAAATGATTCGTGTTGACATAGCAGATATAAATTGACTGTTGCAACTAGATCTTGTTGAAATCAGTAGGCATGAACATTTTCTCTAGAGTTAAGAATCCTGGGCAATAGGCCATCTCCCCATATAGAAAACTGTCAAATGATCGACTCTGATACAGACTGGATGTATTTCCTGCAGATAGGTACATTCAGAAACAAGCTGAGTTTCCTGAGAGAAACATGATCTTTTCTGACCTCTGTGACCCCATGTGAGCTAAGACATTCTGCTAGATGCAAACCTTATACCACATGGAGGAGTCAGACCGTTCTTTTCACACTGGATGGAATCTTTAGACTACCTCAAGCCAAGCTGTTGGCTATTGCATTCCATTGCAAACCCTTCAGTTTTAGTTTCTGAACTATGTTCTGTGAACTGTCACACAAGATTTTTCTAAAGAGGAGTGAAATTTTTAAAACTTGGTAAAACACTAGGCAATTATGTTACAGGATAATGCCATTGCTGAAGTGACAAGAACCTAAGGGAAGCCCAGAGCACCAGCTTTTAGAGCAGAAATGTTAATGTAATTAATATATGGTAATGTAACTGATGGACTCTCTTGCCCTGCCAAGTGAGAAAGGTGGGCATAGGATTAAATTAAATATTACATAACTAGATAAAAATGCAGAAGAGGTCCTTCCTCTGCCAGTAGCCAATGAACTGCTGGTTAGCCTCCAATCAGCTGAAGCACTCTGCCCAAACAGGGGCCCTCGAGGCAGTGGAACGGGAAAATGTTCAGCAGAGAAACGCGACCTGGGCTCCCTTTGAAGGAGATTGGGGGATTATTAGAAGGAGATGTCATCTGTTTCTGCCTCTTTTCTGGTGACAGGGCAACTGGACAGTGCTGATCAACCTTTTGTATGAATGACATTCAGACAATACAAACCTAATCTGGGAGTTGTGCATTAGCAACTTCTGCAGTATTTTTCTTTTTCTATCCTTGATCCCAAAAATCGCTATTAAACTATGCAGAATACAAATATCAGGAATAACAGTACATATAGATCATACAGTAAAATTATGAAATTGTAAATTGCAATGCAATTTAAAAATTCTTTTTAAAACTGAAAAAAGAAAAAAGGTTACTATACAAAAGAGGAAAAAGAAAATAAAGAAAAAATAAAAATACATCTATTCATATTTTTTATCAACTTCTGCAGTTATTTCAAGTGATCCTTCTAGGCATTTATTGCCTGCAAATATCTCTTGTTTCCAGGCTAAAGAGAACTTAACTGATGAACTTTGCAGGACCTTTAAAATAGTCGGTAATCTAAGATCTCTCTGATCCTGCTTAGGACTGGAAAGTAAATAGTTGAAGGTTTTTGTGACAATGGCAGTATTTGCTTTTGTTCATAAGATCTCTGTTTCACATTGCTAGGCGACTGTTTGAATCTTTGTGACTTACTTGTTCTGTGAAAGATCCAGATACGAAGCAGCTGTTAATGCGGTTGCCTTCAAATATTCACCTGAACCTTAAAAAGTCAACCAAAGTAGAGATGCAAAGTTAACCAACGCCTTCTCCCTGAGGCAGGGCTGGACCAGATATATTGTGCTGAGGACCACGAAGATAATTGCTATGCTGAAAGAGCACCAGCTAAGGGAAAGGTATGTGAACCTTCCACTCCAAAGAAGTATAGATCTTAGCTCACTTACCGCAGAAAAACTGAACTGAGAGCAAAAGTAATGAAATGGCTAAGACTGCAAAAAAAAAAAAAAAAACATTGGAAATTAGCTAGCTGGAGGCAAGCTTGGGAGCAGGAGGATATACCTACTTCCCAGAGGACTGGCCTATGTTTGAAGGATTGCCAGATGACAGATGTGCTGGAAGGCATCTTTTATTTGAAAGGCTTCCAGTCCAAGATCAAGAAGCTTATGAAGAAACAGCAATAGCCATTAAGTTATCCATGCATGGGAAGCTCCTGGATAACAGACTGAGCTGAAAAGAGGTCATCTGGTCAGAACTTTCCCCTGCAATAAAAATGTAGTTTCTCTATTTCATTTCTAAATGTGTATCTATACTTGTAAATTAATATTTGAACATATTCTGACCTTCTTTAACTTCTTCTTGAGTAACTTCCTCCTATTTGTGATGCTTCAATAACTACCATAGGGAAATCACATACATATCCACAACCCGATTTGTAATATTGAGATATTAACTTATCTTTGAAGGTTGAAAGAATAGCTTAAGTAGAAAAGGGCAATTTGAACCCAATGGCATCAGCAATTGAATATGTGCTCATCTGCTGTATTAATTGAACACTGATTATAATACAACTCAGGTAGGCCTATAAACATACAAATAACTGGAGCTGTGGAAAGCATTTGAAAGAGGTGCTTCACAAGAGCCTCAGCATGAAGAAAGCACCTCTTTTGGAAGTGTTCAAGCATCAGTGTCCTTGGCAAGGCTCACACAGCTGCTTCGAAGGCTATCTGACTGAGCATGAGTGTTCCTATGCAGCTGCTTTCAAATGAAGGAAGTTCCAGTAGAAGTGCTACACCTGATCTGTAGCCGTGGATTGTTTTATTAAGGTTCTCCCACACACAGAAAAGAGCAAGGGAAAAGACTTTCAACCAATATGGTCACATTTTTTGGAACTGTTCTGCCTACAATGGATTTTATCATTTTTTAAAATTTTTTTAGTAATCTGATTATTAGTTTTGAAGCTACATTTTATTGTTAATACTGCTGCATGTATGCCTACCTTTTCTTCTGTTAATTACCTTGATGATCTCAAAAAAGAATGCACACAGCTCTGTTACTTCACTGGGCAATCCTGATAGAAGTGCTATCTATGCATAGATATACATGTGGAAACCATAGAAATCAGCTTCTGAAGCAACTTACAAGCAATGTAACTGCTTTGATGCTCTGAGGAGTTCAGATGCTTTGCACAGCCCTACAAATCACCACCCATTCAATGGGTATAACAACTAGGAATTGCAGAAGGTCAGTCTGCTCTAATGGGGGTTGCCTTTGAAAACTGGTCAGAACCTACATTAAGTTCAGACTACAGTTGAGATTGGGTTGTGCACCCAATTCATGCCAGTGCTACTGCTACTGTGCCCACTCCCCTTTTTGTTTCTGGCCTCACTATAAACAGAACTGGCTCAAAGGATTTTTCAAAGTTTTCCATCAAATTTGTGATCAGAGAAACTGGGTGATGGATTTGCCTGAATTCTTGCAGGGGAAGGAGGAATCACTTCACCCTGGGCACAGAGAGAACTGCTCTTGTCTGTGCTCCTGCACTCTGAAGATGC